AAAAAAAAAAAAAAAACTCTGCAGTGCGAGTTGAACAGAGCGAGGGGGGAGGGGGAGACAGGGCAGAGGCGGTGTTTTCAAAGGAAAATACGTACATTTTACAAATGACCAACTCAGCGAAAACTGTTCTACCCAAGTCCTCCAAAGTGTAGGAGCTCTTCACAAAGATAAAAAATGAAAAGCATGTCGCTTTGAAAATCGCTGACACGACACAGGAGAACCACGCTGACAAACGTAAACATGTCGGAGTCACGAGGAGGAGGAAGGAGCTGCAGCTGATACAACATGTTTCACTCCCAACTCATGTTGCAGGTGAGTCTCTACAATTTAACACATTGTTCTGTTTCCAAGAGAGAAAATGTAACGTCACTCTGTCTGGTAGATGAAGCTGCTGTTTGTTTGTTTTCTGATTAATGACGGTGATAGAGAACGTGTGTTACTTTTTATTTAATTGAATTGGTACAAGCAGTGTTTAAATGTGATTTATAAATAAATCTAACACAAAGATGATAATTTAATGATTAAGCTTCAACTTTTAATTTGCTGGCAAAGTCTGAAGACACTGCAGGTATGGCAGGATGAATTGCATTTAAACAGGAATTAAAGTAATTTATTACATCTACTCAAATGTGTGTAATTAAGTGTTTTATATATGTATGTGTGTGTGTGTTTAATTGCTCTTTTAGCTACTTTTGCCTGAACCTAACACTGTAAGTGAAACAAGGCATTTCTTGAGTTGCTGTAAATTATGCTATAATACATATTTACTCTCTCATTCCAGAAAACAACAAACAATGACAGCTTCATGGTGGACAGACATCATGCACACCACAGCAGCAACTATCTTCACTGAAAACATCCTTAAATGATCGTCACTGAAATGAGGCCTCTGTCGATGGTTGAAGACAAAGGCTTCACTACAATGATCCACACTTTTAATCCAGGTTACAATAATCCACACTTTTAATCCAGGTTACACTCTTCCCTCAAGGACACATTTTACAAAGTAGCTACATACCGTGCAGGTATAAAGATACATTTGTATATATTTTTGTGTACATTTATTTTTTTAAACTATTTGACTAACTTTTATTTTTTATTATTCAATATTTTACTAACAGAATAGTCAAATAGCAACCTGTTTTTTGTGTGAATTGCTATGTCAGTCAAATGTTCAATTTTGGAATTAAGGGGTGGAAATTAATTTTTTTTTTTTGTCGATTCATTGATTAATCGAAAAAATAATCGGCCGA